AAGCTCCAGAAGAGCAGGTGCCTTGGCTATTAGTCTTCTCTGTATCTCCAGAGCCTAGTACAGAAAATGAGTGAAGAAACCAGCTAGTCCTGGTCATTCAAGAGCCTGAAAAATTTCCCCTTGACTTCCAGGTCCACAGAGTAGGTCTTCCACAGCCAGAGGGCATGGGGATCCTGGAGTAAGTACATTGGCCTGGAAAGTGAGCATGAATTGTGACTATCTCATACTTAATTATGCCAAGTTCAATTTCTGATACTCTTCTATTTAAATAATTCCTGAAAGCCCTGCTCAGCCAGGAAGTTGTCTCAGATATTACTTTTCAAATGTTTTAAATGTCTTAAAATGACATTTGTAGAGTATTTTATAATTTATGAAGTATATACATTTCCATTATGGCATTTGAATGCCCAAACACCCTGTGAAGTAACATATTATTCTTAATTTGATGGAGTAAAATGAAGCTTAGAGGGATTAAGTGACTAACCCAAGGGACTGGGCAGGGACTCCATCCCAGATTTTGCAATGCCAAGCTCTGTCTTTTCCCAGTGCTAGATAATTGCTCATGGCTTCTCTTCACTTGGTCAAGTCTGAATTTGGACTTAAATGGTTAACAATATCCCAAGAATGATGTAGCTTTCATCATAGTTACATATATAGCATATATAACATATATCACAGCATACACACCTAAACACACATTTTATATATATATATATATATATATATATATATATATATTCCTAATTTAGGGGAATGTATTTCCAGCTGTATCAGTCTTGCTTATATTGAAAGACAGAACTTTGTTTATATAGTTGTCTTTGTCAAATGGCCATATATCTTTCTTTTTCTTTAATGATAATGTTCAGGAAATTGTTGACCAGGTTTACAAAACAGTAGGACAAACCCTCAACTCTATGGAAAGATGGCTACTGTCTATTATTTCAATCATTACTTTTCCACTATACCATCAAGCCATATTTATATTATTTCAGATAAAATCCAAAATATAAACCAATTATTAGATCAAGAAGCTTTTATAACTAAGGAAAATATCCTCTAGTCCTATAATGTTAATACTCTTTCCCTTTTTAGAGCACTCACCATCCATTACAACACCTCAGTCTCAACAGGGTTGATTTATTTTCTAGGGAAATTTTCTCTCTTAGATGACTACAGTGGATGATGGATTAATCCACTCACATGGTCTGTGCTAATGTGGCTATTCTGGCAGGTAAGTAATCAGAAAGGCCTTTGGCTTCCCTCACATACCAGGTGCAGACCTTGCCTCTTGGACTGAGAAACTTTTTAGTGAGTCAGAGGAACAGGTAATTGCATTTAATCTTAGGTAAACCAACTACCAGGAAACATTTGCTACTTATTCCATAATCATTCTTCCTATTTCCCCATCACCCTCCATATTCCACCCATACAGCAAAGCTCATCAAAGAGAGAAAACTCTGAGAACAGTGTTTACCTTCTGTTCAGCGTGAGAACATTTGTCTTTGTGCAGTGAATATGTCCACTTATAAGCAAACAAACTAATATTCTGAAAAAAAGGTGTGTTAATGAACCACTGTCCACACAATAAATACTACTGTCTTTTCCTTACAAATAGGATGTGATTGACTCATTGACACTGGACCAGACACTGGAGTTTGTTTTCATTAGTGATGGTGGGTTTTCACAGAGCTATCCACACTTACATGCCTCATTGCTGGTGACCTTATAAGCAATTTGAGAGGCAGCTGGCAGAGGGTTAGAAATGTAAGTGTGACCTGGAGTCTTTAATCTTGTCCAGGTATGTTCTCGTTCATGAGGTGATATAAACTGATAACACAGCAGCAACATCATTGTTGCTTTTAGGAAAACCTCCTATAATCATTTACAAACGAACCAGAACAAACCACATCCTAACCAGGCTGTAGGAACTGACCCTGCTTCTCACAGAAGGCACCCAGATAAACTTTCTATCTTCTCCATTTTTAATTTCTCCCCACACTTTTTTACTTCCATTTTGAGAAGTGGCAAGATTTAGAGAAGTCTCCTAGGTTTCTCTTTTGCTGTTGCCCTAATGCTCCCTACATATCTGCTGCTAACTTTAAAGAAAAGGAAACAGTTGGGGTAGCTGAGTTTGTGGGCTGGCTTACCTTGACTCACTCATTTAATTACTAAACGAAATACTGTCTGAACTAACTGCTCCCACTTGAATTTTGCCATGTTTTCATTCTTTCATTAGTTTGAGATCCACTACACACTATTTTTCAGAATAGATGTCTATTGAACACAAAACAAGAATATTCCTGAGGACCAGGGGTACTTCAAATACAGCGAGTGAACACTGAGACTGATGCCCAGAAATCCTTTTTGACTCTACAGCCAGTGGTCATGCTTCCTACTGAAGTGAAGAGAAATTTTTGTTGCTAGTGTCCCACAACAGGAACACAACAGAATCTTCCAATGAATGCCTAGTCAATACTTATTCAATGGAATGGAGGTGTAATTGATAAAGGGGCATCGGCATCATGGTTCAGGTAAATTATAGATTAAATTGTTTTTGGTGGTCTAGCTTGGATGCGCAACCATCATTTTCTAATCTGACACAGGAACATATTTTCCCATTGAAACAAACAGCTTAACATAAAACCGAATGCTTTTAAGTTAGAAACTAACAGGAACACCAATGCACTACAGAGAGGCAAGGGAAGGTCAAAATAAAACCAATACATGAATAGACAAAATTTATACTGTGTATAGGGATCAATTTATTCAGAGACCGGAAGTGAGGAAATGTACTTTTTGGGTTAGCAGAGTTGACCAGGATATAGCGATTCTAGATACACTTTGTGGAGAGAATAATAAGGAATGTCTTTTGAAGAGGTGACTGAGCAGTTATTCAGAAAAGCTGGACAACTAAAATAGGAAGGATCATTTTCCAATGCTGCAGTGTCCAAAGATCTGGTTTCAAACTTGAAAAAAGTCATTTTATTGCCTTTGAACGATTAGTTAAGATGCCATGGCATTACTGATATGATTCCCTGTTAAGAACCATGGACCCTCCATGGTTTCTTTCAGTTCTATAATCTGAATTTGCTTTGAAAAGATATTATTTTAGTTACACAGCCAAGATTTAGTAATTTCCTTTTTTTTTTTTTTAGCAGAAAATGTACTTCAGGGAGTGGGGTTGCAATAGGCAAACTATTCACCCATGGTCCTCTAATGGTGCAAAAACTATTCTAGAAAATTTTATCCCCAAATCCTGGCTACAGGAACCAACACATTAGGACTGAACTACAGCACCCTCTAGCCTACGTGCCTGCATAGCCAGAGGCTGGGCTGTCTCCGACTGTAGGAAACCATTAAGCTTTGTTAGTGGGAGATATTCTTCACACAATATGTTTTCTTATCATTTGTTTATGTAATTTATAGACTTCAAACGTGTTGCTCCCTCTTCAAGTTAAAGGAAACCGTTTTTCATTTTAGGAAAATGAGTAACACCACACCCAAGACCTCCTCTACTCCACTTATCTGACATCCCTTGGCAGTTTTAATTTTTAAAAGCTGATTTTCAGATATTTTGTTCCCACTGAGGAGAGAAGTTGATAGCAAAACATCCTGATATATGTGAAAAAGTCACTGAATATATTACGGTCATATATTAGGAAAAGTAAATGGATGTGCATATCATATTAGGTGGAACCATATTACATTTCTTAAAACTTTAAACCATGTAAGAGCTACAAAAATGGCTTTTTTTATGCTTCATCCTGATATCTAGAAGGACAGAGAAACTAGGGAGAAACCTAGGAACTGGGAGACATTTGAGAGGCAGACTTACTTTTCTCCACATATTCTGTGAAGTCCAAGGATATTTTTACCATATTCAAACAATTAATATAAACAGTTTAAGAGGAGAAAAAAGTAACATACATGGTCATAAACTTTCCTAGACCTACTTATTTTCTCCTCTTCCCACATTTCTCCCCATGCTCTTCTGTGCCTTAGGCTGGGGATGGGTTTTTTTTTTTTGAGTTTTTTTAAATTATTGTATGTTACAGGTGTACAATATAGTGATTCAAAAAATTTAAAGGTTACACTCCATTTATAGTTATTATAAAATATTTGTTATATTCCTCTTGTACAATATATCCCTGTAGGTTTTTTTTTTTTTTTTTTTTTTTTTTTTTTGCTGTACGCGGGCCTTTCACTGTTGTGGCCTCTCCCATTGCGGAGCACAGGCTCCGGACGCGCAGGCTCAGCGGCCATGGCTCACAGGCCTAGCTGCTCTGTGGCATGTGGGATCTTCCCGGACCGGGGCACGAACCTGTGTCCCCTGCATCGGCAGGTGGACTCTCAACCACTGTGCCACCAGGGAAGCCCCCCTGTAGCTTTTTTTATACCTACTAGTTTGTACCTCTTAATTCCCTACTCCTATATTGCTCCTCCCCCTTCCCTTTCCCTATTGGTAACAGACTCTGAGTCTGTTTCTTTTTTACTATATTCACTAGTTTGTTGTAGTTTTTTAGATTCCATGCATAAGTGATATTGTACAGTGTTTGTTTACTAAGCTAGTGATAATCTATTATTTTCAAACTTCTGGCAAATGATTTTTAGAAATATATCCTAAGGAAATTTACCATCTGATTCCACAAATATATATATATATATATATATATATATGGGTTTTTATTGCTTTAGGACAGTGGAAATTTTAAACGATATAGATAGGAGAGTGTATAAACAAAATATGATGCATTCTTCTATTGGAATACTATGTAGGCATTGTTGTTGTTTACTTTTAGTATGCTTTGTAATTTTTTTTTTTTCATAGCTAGCCATGATGTACTGGGTAAAAGGAACTGCTGTATTGGCCTTTAGGAATGTGGTAATGAGGTATGCATTGGAGGAGAAGCATTCTATAGTCTTATGATTAGGTCTCAGTCTTTCAGTGAAGCTGTGCCTCTGGATTGTGAACTTCACAAGTGTTTCTCCATTTTTTCCTCCCCCCTTAGGTGGGACAGGATGGCTAGAGTGGGCTGCCGCTGGGTACTTCCCCTCCCCCATGTGGAAGGCTAGAGCTGACTGGAGTATTTCCCTTCCCTCCAGGTGAGTTAGATTCTAATAATACTGCAGCAGGTTAGGTTCTTAGGCTCTGGTTAACTAGTTTCTCCTGAGGGCAGGCCTTGTTAAGAAGCATGCAGTGTTCTGGCGTATTTTCCCTTCCTCCTGCTGGAAGCAGGAGAGGATTTTTCTCTAACATTTACCGTGGGAACCGGCTCAAGCTCCTGGAAGCGAATCTCACGATATCGTGGGGGGCCCCTATCACTGGGTCCCCTGGAGTTTTTAACTCTCAGAGTTGTCCATACTGAGCCTCCAGCAATTCATCAATTACAGGTCCGGTTTTCCTACCCTGACGCTGGTTCCTGAGGTCATTTCGGCTAAGAGCGTTTCTGCTCTGGTAAGTCATGACTCTGTGTTCGCTGTCTGTCTCTTCAGTCTTGGGGGCAGAAGTTTGCCATGTGTTCTCTCCCCTATTTTGTGGATCCAAGAAGAGTTGTTGATTTTTCAGTATGTTTAGCTTTTTACTTGTTGTTAGGTTGGAGCGGCTACTGCCAAGCTCTTTAAATGCAGAGTGGGAAGTGGCTTGAAATCAGTTTCTCATTAAAGACACTGAGGTTCTTTCTAACAAACATTAAAGGATATTACAGCCATTTGCAACAACATGGATGGGCCTTGAGGGTATTATACTAAGTGAGGTAAGTCAGACAGAGAAAGACAAACACTGTATGATAGCACTTATTTGGAATCTAAAAAAAATAAAAAATAAAAAAACATTCGAACTGAGAGTAGTCTACCCTGTTAATCAGGGGCTGAGGAGTGAGAAGTTTGTCAAAAGGTACAAACTTCCAGTTATAAGCCAAATAAGTTTTGGGGCTCTAATGTACAGCATGATGATTATGATTAACAATACTGTGTTATACACTTGAAAGTTGCTAAGAAAGTAGATCTTAAATGTTCTCACTACAGAAAAGAAATGGGAATTGTGTGACCTGATGTAGGTGTTAGCTAACACTATGGTGGTAATCACTTTGCAAGAGTATATCAAACCAGTATATTGTACACCTTAAACAACATTATATACCAATGAATAAAAGGAAAAGGAGAAAAAAGATAGGTTCCTAGAAGCAGAATTATTGGGTTAAGGAGGGTGAACATTTAAAAGATTTTGATGTCTTGCCCAATCATCTTCCAGAAAGTTGAGCCAATTTGCAGTTCCTCAGCTGCTGTGAGTAATATCCACCCCCCTTTAATTTTGTCAACTGTTGCCAATTTGATAGCTGAAAATGGTATCTCATTGTTATTTTAAATTATAGAATTTATCTTTGATTACTAGTGAGACTGGATATTAAATTGTTTTCTAGTAAAATAAATTCTTGGAATCCTTAAAAAAAGGATATTACAAGAGAAATGGAAAAAGTCTATAGGGCAAAAGGGGAGCATGGAAAGATGCTGGGGGTAGGAAAGGAAGGTAAAATACCAGGAGCCCCCAAATGGAAAATGTGGTCCAAGGAAGAGCCCCTGTATAGAAGGTGTAAGGGCAGATAGTCTGATGGAGGACTGCTGTGAGGCTCCAAAAGCCATGCTGGATCAGAGACCTGGCCACCCAGACTTCCTATGTCTCCATTTTTGCTGTTGTGGTACCCGGGCCTCTCGCTGTTGTGGCCTCTCCCGTTGCGGAGCACAGGCTCCGGACGTGCACGCTCAGCAGCCGTGGCTCACGGGCCCAGCCGCTCCGTGGCATGTGGGATCTTCCCGGGCCGGGGCACCAACCCGTGTCCTCTGCATCGGCAGGCGGACTCTCAACCACTGAGCCACCAGGGAAGCCCCCAGACTTCCTATGAAAGAGAACTTCATATTGCCTGAATGCGGGGCCTATGCCCGCTGATCATTCAGTCTACACTCTGGGGGAACTGTCCTCTGTCTGTACTGTGTTCTCACCAGCTGATTATGCTTGAGGACCCTAAGCTGGAGCAGTGGGGAGTGAACTCCTCTCTTCTGAATACATAGGAATAGGTCTGGAAGGAAGTATAACAAATTAGTATAGGACATTTTGACCTCTCTGACAGTTTTTTCCCAATATTTTTATAAAAGATTGTTTGGGCTTCATTTCTAAATATCAGCATGTTAATAACTATTTATGGCCTTGATTGATTTTCACAGTCAAAATCTACCATTTTATTATTATTTTACTGAATCATTTTCTTTAGGGGACAGCTTTTCTGTATAAGTTTTATAATGAAGAGTTTTATAGGTGATGGCACATAGTATTGGACCTTTATTTGGGTGCATTATTACTACCAAATCTTATTTCCCCAGGTCAAGTTTGTAAATCTAACTTTTTCAAGGAGATTGAATTCTTCCGTTAATTTTTTTTCTTCCATTAATTTTAGTCACATTTTTGTTTTGTATAATTTTAGCAATTTTTCAGTTTTATTTGGGCTTATTATTTCTTCTAAGAAAGCCTAAATATTTCAGTCATCCTTCAGCTGCTGTCCTCTTATAATGAAGTGGGTTCCAGACCACACAGAGAGACAGAAGAAAGAAGGAAGGTACAGAAATGCAGGTAGATTTGGTGGTGGGAAGATGAGAGGATGTCTATCTAATAGCTCCTATTTTAGTGGAGGTGGTGAAGACCATTTGTTTTTGGAGAGAGAAGAATGTGTGATGTAGTTGTTTTGGAGAGAGGTGAAGTCATCATACTAGCGAAGTGTAGAAGGATTGTTGGTTAATGTTATGTGCTCTTTTGAGATTTGTAGTCATGGATTTTAAGTGAGACTAGCTGTGTATTTTTTCCTCCACTATGTTCAGCTGCTTGAGTTCGGGAGCATGGCAGACAGTTGAGTTTCACCTGAGCTGGAGATTGGCAAGGTGTTCCTGGCTGAGGGAGAAAGCATTGCTCCCATAATTCTCTCTTTTCTCTCCTGCATCATCAAACTTTTATTCCTTGATTATTCCCTTTGGTGTAAAATATGTCCAGTACCTATCATCCTTAAATAACAACAACAAATATTAAATAGTATACAAAGAAACAAAACTTTCTTTACCCACTCCTCTTAAAAGAGCCAAGCGACTGCGCCATTTATCTGTTCCCTTCAGTACTTAACTTCTTAAAAGAGTTTTCTACAGTCTGGGCTCCATTTCCTCACGTCACATTTTTCCTTAACCCTGTCCAATCAGGTTCCTCTCCCATGACTCCACAGAGATTGTGTTTATCACAGAAATACTGACCACCACTGTGCTGAATTAATAGTCAATTCTGAGTCCTCATGTTACTTAACCTCTCAGAGCTTGGCCGCTTGAAACAATTTCTTCTCTTGGATGCCTTGACACCACACATCCCTCTTTCCTACTCCACCCTCATTTCATTGGCTGCTCCTTTGGAGTCTCCTTTGCATAAGCTTTAAATGTTGCAGGTCACATTTTGGGGAATCACTTTCTCTTTATCTAACTCATCTTTCTTAGGAAATCTTCTTTATTACCAAGGATTTAAATATTATTTAAATGTCAACGACCTCCGTAAATAGATTTTCCAGTGCTGGAAAATCCCTGCCTTTCTAGATCCACCATTGATTATGGTGTAGTGTTATTTCTTGTTCATTGATGAGTGTAGTTTGTGAATGCTTTATTTAGGAGTTTTGCAACTGCATTAATGAGGTTACCTATAACTTTTTTTTTCATTTGAATTAAACTCAATATTTCAAAATAAGCCCTATTAAAAAACCTATATTGAAACTAAAACAATTTTAATAGAACTTTTCTTTCTAGAAACAATAATAATAGAAAGCATTTTATAAAATGTGGTCCCGAACAAGTAACAGCAAATAAATAAATGTATACTTAACTTCCACTTCCTCCAAGCAGAGGCTGCTTTCTGTTCCTCAGCCTTGGAAACAAGGTGAAAAACAGTCCATAAGCAATTTTGGTCAGGGGGCTGCCAAAACAAAGCTTAAGCAGTTGACCGTGGACACCTCTTAAAAGAACTTGGGGGAACCTGACCAAGGAATCCAAATTCTATTTTTAATAACTGATACAAAGGTCAAGTGGTTTCTCCCAAGAAGCGGTTTCTCCCAAGAAGCAACGCCTCTGGAATCTGGCCCACCCTGTGTTCACCTATGCTAAGCTCCCAAGTAAATCCTGATGCTTTTACTCCAGAGGAGACGTTTTCTTTTTAGAGGTTCAGTGTCCAGGGAGCTCTTTATGTGAATGAGATGAACACAGACGCCACATGGGTATTTTAAGTGTTGGAGTCAAAGTATTTTCCTAATACCAGCTAGGGAGAATCCAGCTGTCAAATGGCTCATTTCTGCTTTGTCCTAGTCTCCCACCATGCATTTGTAGACCTAGGACCATAGACTTTTGCTATGTCATTATAAGAACATCTGATGTCTATACTAACTTATGATTCATATTCTGTGCCTGGAAACAGTCCCTGTATTTAACAATAATACTTACACATAATCTACTGTTATAATGTACATGGTCCCAAAACATTAATGATCTTCTGTACACCAAGGAAATGCTTTTAACCATAGTCATCATGTGTCAAATTCACAGCCAGAATCCCCAAGATAAAAAAAAAAAAAAAAAAGAAAAATATTTTGAACAAACAATAACGTAAAAGACACATACACACACTTCCTACACAACTATGCATAGGGAAACTCCACTTGTTAAATGCCACTGAAGGTATATTTTGATAAGTTGTTGCTCCAGGTATTTTTGTTTGGAAAATCTATCCCAGTAGGGCACAGCTGTTTATTGGATGAGCAGAAAAGAAAGAGATGCTTGCTGCAAGCAGGAAGTTTTAAGGTCTTAAAATGGACCTGTAGAAACATTTAAGTGTTCTCAGGATGTAAAGTTGGAGTGAAATGTGATATCAAACCAGTTGCAAAAAGTATTATAGATAGCAGCCATCTCTTGATGTCAAGCTTGGCACCCAGATTCGCAAAAAGCTTCAGGACACATAGTTTGTTGGCCTCTTCCTACCTCGTGGCATAATCTGATGATGTGTGAATTTCACAGAAGATTCATACCATTCTGCTAGTTAGGTGTAGAGGATTTGCTCATACCCCTCCCAGATATGATCTTTCTAGTCTTTTAAGAGATGCCCACATATTATTCCAATTTGTTGGAGAGTAAAGGGGGACTGGTCGTTCTTCATCCAGGAGGAACCTGGAGAACTAGGTGCTGGGTGTGCCGAGGAGGGAGGACGACTTTCGGAAACGTAAGCTTTACTCTGATTAAGAACAACTTCTGAATGCCTCCACTTCTGATAATAACTATATTCTTGCTTTATGTTCTCAAAAATTTGCTCTGGAGTTGGAAGGCGCCCTGGATATAGTGCAGCGCCAGGCTGCTGCAGAGTGGGCGGTGGGGTCCTGTCCTCAGCGCCGAGTC